ACAGAGCTTGTGGAGGTATGAGACTCTACAAGAACTTGTGGAAAATAGTTTATGGTTGAAAATGGTTTATTGTTGGGAAATTCATTTTACTGTTCATTAAAATTATTACTATTGCGTAAACTTGAGATCCGTTGACAAGTCCCGGTTTTATTTCAAAAATTGATATATGATATTTGTAAAATGAGGCCGACTTGCTTTATACGTTTTCTAAACCTTTTTCGAATTTGAGAGGAATGTTGCTACAGAGCTTATTGCTCAGCCCCTGTAAATAATATATTTTTCAGATTATGTGTTAGATGAGGAGCTCGGAGTCAATTAACAGGTGAATTGGGAAGCTCCACTAGACGGGCACATGGATCCCGAGGTGGATGCTTAGGGTTATACTCTCCTAGGTGCTAGACTAGAAAATTTCTTTTGAGATTATGTAAAGACTAATCTTTTGTTATATTTTGATGCAAGTTTAAATGTGATTCTTTTGAGATATAATAGTCATGTTTTGGCATATTATTTTGGGAATGATGTTGTAAATATTACATTTCATGAATGAAATTTTCTTTATTGATGAATTTTATTAGTTGCTCTCATGATGTGAATGGGATTTAGATTGTCATGTCGTCCAAGGGGAATTTGGGGTGTTACAAATCTATCCAATACAAAATTGAACTTCTCAAGTAGAAATAAACATCAATATAAAATTGACCTCAATAGTACAAAACATCTATATAAATACAACCATGCAACTCTATAAAAGAATGATTTAGCTTAGAAGAGGCAACCCTATTTTTGAATGCACTTCAACAATTCATATAAAAGAAATGATTTCCTAATTTCAAAAATTAACTACAGTAATCAAAACCTAAATGCAGAAATACAATATAGAATACCAAGAAGAATACCCCAATCTTAGTTTGGAGGATCAGTGAGTCGGACTTGGTTAGTCTTTGGATGATGGATTTCTTTGGTGCAACTCAGAGGGTGGGGATGGGGTACTCGCAGTAAGGGATGGCACATAAGGAGGAGAGATGGACGGAGGGGGGGTTTGTTAAGTGGGAGAGGGGTGGGTTTGTGTAGAGGGGGGTGAGATAGGGGGTTGTGTTGCGTTTGGGGGGGAGAGACGGAGAGAGAAGAGGGATACCTGGGAGATGCGTGGTTGTGGCGGTGGCTATGTTGTGTGTGAGAGGAAGGTACCTGTGCGACCTTTTGTGGTTGAGCCATGCTAGAACGAGAGGTGAGACTATGAGAGAGAGTAGAGAAGGCACTAGTCTTGTAGATATATATATATAGAGAGAGAGAGAGAGCGAAAAAGAGAGTTTGGCTTAGGTTGGGTGTCGTGTGAGTGTAGGTATAGTCAAGTCAAGCAAACTCTAGGGCCCGTTTGTGGTGTAGGGATTTTGATTTTGTGAGATGTATTGTGAGCCATTAGATTAAGTGGGATGAATGTCGATGAAATCTGAACCATTTAATTCGAATTGGATAAATTTAAATTAAAATTGAATCGTTCTTGAGAGGAATGTTAGTGTCCGTTGGATAAATTGATTTGAGACCGTAGGATTTGTTTGTTGAAGCCGCCTTATTTTATATTAAAGATTTGGAGATAAGTTTGGCAAAGAAACTTATTGGGTTTTAAGTCCATTTTTTGTCAAGTTTACTATTGTGCCCCTACCCTTTGGAAAAGTCAATAACTAACGCGTGACTTACCGTCTCCTTTACATAGATTAGATCATTAATGTATGTATGAAAACCCTTGATTGAATTATATATAGAAACCGTTTATTAAATATTATAATAATTAACGAAAGTTTTATATAGAAGTTATATATTTTGATAGTTATATATAGAAGCTTGATGTATGAATAAATTGTTGGTCTATTTAAGTCAAAATCAGATCACAAAATATTCTTAACAATTCAAAATTTTCTTAACATTAGTATTAGTATTGTGACACTAATTTTATTATAGTGACACAAATGTTACTGTAATGACACAAATGAGATTGTTTTTCTTAAAATACTTAATACACAAAATGAAGAATTCTACCATTTCAAATAGTAACACAAATTCAACCTCAATTTTTACTTATACTTCTAATTGCAAATCTTTAGACATATATTATGTGACATACACATTTAATTTTTATAGTAACATCAAAAGTTTGTGCTCAGTAACACATCGAATTTTACAAAATACAAGGCAATAGGGTTTTCACAGTAACATCAATTTTTGAAAGATTATAGTGAAAATACGATCCACAAATTAAAAATTTACAAAATTTCTAGTAATAACACACCGTTGATAGTTGAATTAGGATACTCAACACCAATAAAAAACATCAATGCATTAAAAATTTTGAAATCCATTTTCTAGTTATCACGCAGTAACATGATCTATTTCACAGACACAACCAAGGTATTTCGAATGTCTTGCACAACAAAGAAATCAATAAAATCGAATTATATAACATTTTAATTTAGTAATAATGAATCTCAATTTTTAAATTAGGAATGCAAAAATAAAAAACGAACAATTTAAACTATATATTATGTAAAAGTTCTTTAAAACCCTACAATAAACATCAACTTTTATGTAAAATCACATATCCCAAAGTTGTGAAGATGTTTTAAATGTAAAGAATCAACTATAACTTTGTCAATGGATTCCACAGTAAACTTGAAAAGTAAAATTAAAATTGGGATTGAGTTTGTGTTACTATTTTAAATGGTGAAATTTTTTATTTTGGGTATTGAGTATTTTAAGAAAAACAATCGCATTCGTATCACTATTGTAACATTCGTGTCATTATAGTAACATTAATGTCACTAAAGTAACACTAATGTTAAGAAAATTTTGAATTATTAAGAAAATTTTGTGGTTTGATTTTGCCTTAATAGGCCAACGATTCTTTCATACATTAAGCTACCATATATAACTATCAAAATATATAACTTTCATATAAAACTTTCGTTAATTATCATAATATTTAATAAACGGTTTCCATATACAACTCAATTAAAGATTTTCATATATACCTTAATAATCTAATTTTTATGATTTTTCATAACTGGACAAAACTAACACTGTTCGGGATAATTTTGAGATTTAAAAAATAAGTGGACTTAAATACATACATATAAGTTTAAACATAGACTTACCCCCCAAATAAGTTTCTTTCCATAACTCAAGTCATTATAAGTCCATTTAGGGGGATTCACCTTCAATTTTCACAAAATTTTATCATTTTATGGGTGAAGTGATTCAACCCAATTTAACTCGACTCATAACCAATCCAACCCATCCATTTGCCACCTCTAATGTATGTAGTAAAAAACTGGGGGGGAAAAAAAAACTTTCACATGTTACACATAAAAAGGTAATTGTTCCAGATCCTAATGGAAATAGAGAAGAACAAAGGACGAAACAGATTATGTTTAGACCCCATTACTTTGGCCCAGAATCCTTCTTATTTAGCTCATTCACTAAAGCACAACATGAAGCTCATAACTCCTGAAACCATGGACATTTCCTTATTTAGATTCGCGATCTGATCCGCATTCCTTTATTACATATCTCATCACAAAAGCACAATGTGAAGCTCCCAAAATTCTCGAGTATATGGAGACGACAGATCCAAATCTTTTTCAATCTCTCATCAAAGTGAATGCCTTTCTTATTTCCTGTACAACAATTCCATTAGTTACTGGTTAGAACAACCACAACAGGCCTTTGATGTCAACAAGCAATGTACACTAAAGCCACATTACTTTACAACAGCCATATATATATCCATCACTGGTCACTATAAAACAACAAACCCCTTTTCATTGCTACTCGCATGTCATTATGATTGATACTTTCATACTTATCATGCCTCTATGCATCATCTAAGAAAGCGTCAGTTTAGGATATGCGAAGTTCTTTTTTCCCTTTTTCTTGTCCGTATCTAATGAAATTTGAAAAAGAAAAGATTTCCCAAAAAAATCCATATGTTGTTTAGCAGAACCGTACAAAGCCAACTACGGGAAAAAAAGATGAAAGTACAACAAGTACATCTAAAAAGCCTTAAATTTTCTCCCTGTTTGTAGCTTGTCAAGAATCTTCCATGCGGATTAACCAAAAATAAAGATCAAAGAAGGATAATGTGATATTCAGTAAAAGAAGCATACCAAGGCAGCTTGAAAGTATCTTTCCACCATCCATGTTTGGAGCAGTTCGAAACAATTTTGTCCAACCGTACAATGATCTCAGTGAATGTCGGCCTGACAACATATTCTGGATCCCAACATTCCTCAATTAACCTAGTAGTAAAGGTAACAAACAAAAACATAAGAACAGCTTTCTAACTTCTTCCTTTTTTGGATAGGAAACAAAACTATTATTGATAAATAAAATGAAGGGAGCTTTCTAACTTTAATTCGGAAAACTATTAATCCATCGAAATCTACATAAGACAAAAGCAAAGAAACTCTGGTTATAATAACAATCTTAATAAACCACAACCTACAAATGCAATAAATTTCCTGCGCTTATCATGAACTTTTTTTATTACAGATATCCAAAATAAAATCTATAGACAAAATAGTTATTAATTCCTTTGGTATCTTGTGCAGTTTTTCAAAAATATAATTCTCCACACTTCATGAAAAGTGAAAGGATCCAGACGAGAATTACATTCATTTTTTCTGACTAAACATATCGCTTTGGAAAGTATCTGGGAGATCTGATTTGTCCACAAAACAACCCCCCCCCCCCCCTTCTCTCTCCCTCTTTCTTTTCAAACAAAAAAACCACCACTTCATGTAGTAACCAGATCCTGTATTCATAAAGACCTCCAGTTAAGCAACATTTTGGGAGTACTGAGTTTCCGAGAACTATTTCGTGGTTGATGAACTTGGTAATTTGGCAAAGGAACTTCCTAGAACAGTAAATATCTGGTGGGCAACGCTGCATCTCAAGTATGATAAATTAACAGCAAGAAGCTGTTGCATCACAGAAAAATAACTTACTCTTTTAGTTCTGGGGGGCAATTTTTAGATTTTGCCTTGAATGTTGGTCTCTTTCCTTCTGAACACATCAGTTTAGCAGCATCTTCTGGAGACTTGGGGTGAAGTGGTTGAATTCCCTCCATCATCTGGATCCAATCAAAAAAGATTTTGAGACAGACTTTTTTTCCGCAAAAGCCTATGACTTAAATGGTAGCATGGTTATTCATTGCCCCAAACATGTACAAGAAGATTATAAGAATTTACCTCATACAGAATAAGACCGAAAGAGTATACATCAACGCTTCTGTCAAATATTTCATCTTTATAAACCTCAGGTGCCACATGCAAACCTACGATTAACAAAGAGACATCAATAAGTAAGCGCTTCTTAAATGTTTCAAAGACTTCTATGAAATATGATTTGGAGAAATTAAATCATGAAGCTCGTATACTAGAGGAAAATACTAGCAAACTAGCCATAGGAAGCACTTAATCGACGTTGAAGATGGCGACTGCTTTGGAGAATGCTATAAGACTCATACATCAATCACAACACCAAAAGTAAGAATCCTATTAGGAAGTAACTGGTTTATAAAGACTATTAACTATCAAGATAGAAGTGGCAGAAAAATTCATTATAATTTAACATCAATACAAGATTTCTCTTGGATTCCAAGATCATTTGGCCTTTCAGAGCACATATGGAAAAACGGATTGGTTAGAGAATTTTGACTGAACTTGAGAAGAAAACTATTACAGCTTGCAGGAGACTATATTGAGTGCGATCACTTAAATGTCTGATAGAGCACTTTTTGAAGAATTTTTTGTTGGGTAAATATATGTGGAGTTCCATCACTGGTGTTGTGCAAGCCCCAACAGATACAAAAGCAAAAATATGTTGAATTGAAAAACAATTGGGACATCAACAAAGCCAAAATGATTACTTGGATTAACAAAACAGTAGATCAGACCATTGTTGTTCACCTGGCAAAACTTAACACAGCCAAAGAAATTTAGGAGTATTTGGACATGTCTTTTGTGCAGTCCAATAATGCAAAGAGGTATTAACTTGAACATAAGATTCGAGTTGAATGTAAAGATGACAGGAGCATACAGGAATTCTACTCTATTATGACTAGGTTTTGGGATCAGCTAACTCTTATGGAGCCTGCAGAGTACTAATCAGCTACATTGTAAATGTAGAGAGGATCAATAGTTAGTATAAAGTTTGATGGCACTCAGAGATGATTTTGAGGGATTTCGAGGAGTGCAAGCAATATTTTAGCCTTGAGTAAGGTACTTTGAGCCTTGAAGAGTATTTCTCCAATGTTATGGGGACTTGTTGGGAACTTAGGATGTATCAACCCATTTCGTTTGATATTCCTCGTATGCAGCATTAACGTGAGGAATTTGATGTTCGGTTCTTAGTTGAGTTGAAATCTAAGTATGAGCCTATCCATAAACAGATTTTTGGGAAGTCCTAAACTTCCCTCTCTCCCAGATGTATTTTCTTGACTTCAGCGAGCTACACTATCAGACCGTAGCTCCTCTCCCCTTATTGAGCATAATGACGATCGTTCTGCTTTAGTTGTCTCTCTGGGTAGCACTAATGATTCACGTGGAGGTCATGGTGGCAGAGGAGGCCATAACAATCATGGTGGATCTAGTAATTCTCGTGGAAGTCGTGGTGGTAAAGGAGGTGGTAAGTGTACTCATTGTGGTTGTAATAATCCATTGTGGATTATTGTTGCGCTTGCATGGTAAATAATTTGTTTCGGCTCATCAAGCTTCTTTTCAAGAGGATATTCGCCTCGTGGTTCTCCGTTCTAGATCCACTCAGTCACTCTTTCCTGATCTCATTACTATATCTCGAGACGAGTATAATTAGTTCCTGTCTTAGAAACAGTCCATGTCTTCCTCCACTGCTACTTTGGCTCAATTAGGTATGCTATCTACTTGTTTACTCTCTTCCACTTTTAGTCCATGGATTATTGATTTTGAAGCTTCCAATCATATGACTAGCTCGTCTAGTCACTTTAATTAATTTTCACCCTATAGCCTCATCTCGCTTTATTATTTTTGCTAATTAATCATCCTCTTAGGTCTCAAGTTTGGGTTCTATGCAACTCAGCCTCTCCAATCTTTTGTTTTATTTATTTCTCAATTTTTTTAGTTTGCTATCCATTAGTAAGATCACTCACTCTCTTTAGTGATTAGTAACGTTTTATCCCTCAATTTGCGTCTTTTAGGATCTCAAGACAAAGAAAATGATTGGTATGATGCATGAATCAAGTGGCTTCTATTATCTTGACTTCGAGCCTCCTCCTAGAGCCTTATACCTCACTATCCCCTCTTCAACGGCATTGCCATCTAGGCAATCCATCCCTTCCAGTTTTGAAGTCTCAAGTTCCTAGCCATAGTCATGTATCCTTTTTGTTTTGTGAAGCTTGTCAAACTTAGTAAGTACCATCGTGTGACGTTCAAATCTAGGATAGATTATCTTGTATCTACCCCTTTTGAATTAGTTTATTCTGATGTATGGGACCCCCGCACACATTCTTTTATTGATGGATATCGTTATTTTATGACCTTTGCTGATGATTATTCTCATATAACTTTGTTATTTTTAATGAAATTCCACTCATAATTGTTTTCTATCTTTTAATTGTTTCGCAAGAAAATTAAGACAATTTAGCTATAATATTTGTATTTTACGATTTGATAATGCCAAAGAGTAGACTGCTAATTCCTTTTTAAGATTATTTTGATGAAAAAGGCATCTTGCATCAAACTTCTTGTACCTACAAACCACAACAAAATGGTGTGGCTGAACGCAAGAATCGTTACTTATTAGATGTCGCTCAAGCACCATTATTTGATATGCATGTTCCTAACCGTTTTTGGGCCGATATTATCTTGACTTCTTGCCATCTTATCAATCGTATGTCCTCTACAGTCTTACAAGGAACATTCTCCTCATTCTGTCCTTTTTCCTGACTCTCCTTTATTTTCTCTTCCTCCAAAGGTGTTTGGGTGTCTCCTATGTCCATAATCTTAGTCCTGGTTTTAGTAAAGCTTGATCCGAAAACTACTAAGTGCATCTTTCTTGATTACTCTCATACCCAGAACTGCTACGTTGTTGTAGCCCTCCTCTTCGTAGATATTTAGTCAATGCAGATGTTACCTTTTGGGAATCTACACCTTATTTTTATGCTCCCCCTATACCTTTTGAGCCCTATTAAGGTGTCTTCGGTGTCTAACCCGTTTCTAATTCCAATTTCAATTCCCTTATCCTTTGTTCCTCAATTGTTCATGACTTTGAATTCACATCCTTCCACACCCTTTCGTGTTTACACTTGTCGGTCAAGGTCATCTACTATATGGCTCCATCACCAGCTTCCTCGTCGTCTTTGGATCCAACCTCTTCAGATGTGTTTGATTTTCTACTTATTGCTTTCCATAAAGGCACTCGTTCTTGTGTTACTAACCATCCTATTAATAACTGTTTCTTCTCATTTTGTTATATCCTTCTTCTTCCTATTTTACTTCTCAGTTATCCAAAATATCTGTTCCTAAGAATTTAGCAAATGCCTTATTGGATTCGGGTTGGTGGACAGTTGTGGAGAAAGAGCTGAATGTTCTTCATCATAATCATACTTGGGATCTTGTCCCACGCCCTCTGGGTATGCAGATTATTGGGTGTTGTTGGATATATATCATTAAATTTCTTCCGGATGGCTCAGTGAATCAGCTCATAAATCGTTTGGTAGTCTAAGGATATACCCAAACTTATGGCAACATTGACTATGTGGAGAACTTTTTTCCGATTGCTAAAATTTCTTCTGTCTGGGTGTCTGGGTTTTGATTTCACTTGCTGCTAATCTTGACTGACCCTTATTTCAATTAAATGTTAAAAAAGTTTTTCAACATGATATTCTAGCAAAAGAGGTTTACATGGAACAACCACTTGAGTTTGTTGCTCAGGGGAAGTATAAGGGTAGTGTGTGCAAACTAAAGAAAGCCTTGTATGGGCTGAAACAGTCTTAGTGTGCGTGATTTGAAATTTTTTCAAAGGCAGTGATAAATTTTGGTCTTCAGAGATGCAAAAAAGATCATTTGGTATTTCATTTTACAGACTGGTGCAGGTAATATCCTTATTCTATTTTTTTGTAGATAATATTGTGATTACAGATGATGATTTTGTGGTATTGCCAAATTGAAATAGTTTTTACAATATCATCCACTTTGAGCGAAAGCCCAAACGGAGGAGGATCCAATTCAAGATTCTCCTTGGGAGGTATTGGGATCATGATAACAGACAGTGACTACTTTAGTGAAACAAATCAAAGAAAATGCAAAGGACATTGTTTTTCAAGATCAACTCTCTCTGCAACATAATAACAACCCTAAACTTATTGCCTACAACAAATTTAATTCCACTCAAGACCTTGGGCTTTTTTTCCTTTTATTGTTTCTCTCCATATGTGACGATGTTGTGTACATTAAAGATACTCATCTGTCATTATTTTGTCTACTTATCTAAGAGATGGCCAAGGGAAATTAACCTGGGGTCCAATTCATCCACCAATAAATTGAGGGTTCCAGATGATTTGAAGTCTCCTAGTATAAATTTTTTTATTACTTTTTCTCAACCAATATAAATACACCTTAAAACATACTCCAAAGTTTCATTTTTGAGATGAAATTTAATACTTCAAAATTTTGACATTTAGGACATCAAATTACTTAACAGGGTTGACAGGGAATAATTGTATACATTCCATAATCATATGTCTGTCAGATACTAGTAAGCATTATATTCGTTGTCAATACAATAGAGGCAATTAGATTTGACAAACATAACAACTTACTCAAGCAATCAATTGCCCCAGGCTGCACTAGTTTTGCTTTGTCGGGTGAAATTATTGACAACCTAATTACACCAAATCCTGCAACCTTCAGCTGACCTCCACAATCCAGCAAAATATTTCTGGCACCTTATCAAAATTTCAAATATTAAAAACATTGCACATCTCAATGACTACAAGAAAAACTCAATTTACAATTACATATTAAAGCATTTACTAGCCTTACTTTGGCTTCAAATCACAATGAATGATTGGATCCGGTTTACATTCATGAAGATAATTCATGCCCCTGATTCCAAGAAATATACCATGATGTCAATACACAAGCAAGATTGACACTAATGACAAAAATGTTCAGATGGAAGTGAAACTGTTTCAAAGAATATACGAATAGACATATGGTACAAAGTAAAATTAGCAAACAGATAATTGCAGAAAATAGATAATGAACATCCCAAAGAAGTTGACATTGAAATGCATAGAGAGTGAGGAAATTATTGATTTACATCATGACCTTCGTAAAACATTTTTGTATATTATTCCAGCAAAATTGCACTTGCCTAGCTATATCAAGGGCGAATCTTAGAGCTTTGGACGGAGATAAACGCCCTTTCTTTTGAAGATAGCTTCCAAGGTCACCCTGAAAAATTAGCATCAATATCAGCAATCTCAAAACTTTGGTGATAAATGGAGTGTATGAATTATATAGATTCAATGCATTATTTTCTTCCATTTAAGCTAGATACATCAACTCTTCCACGTTGATCAAATTCAACTAAACCGAGAAAGAAAATATTTCAAAAGAAACATGTATACAGCAAAACCCAGAAAGATGAAAATTTGAGGCAGCCTCTTCAGGTTTCCAGATTCTCAAATAAACAAACAACCAACCAGAAGATTGCATATTGATGGGATCGGCATCTGCATGCAGCAACAAATGTCCTCCATATAATGACTGCAAACATCCCTTCTAAAATTGGTTGCCTAGGTATGATGATCTCCTCACTCCCCATCCCCTCCAATATATATTTGATTTAACACATTGCTTGTAGTTCTTTACCTTCTACCACAATCCTAATTATGACATTCTTGCAAAAACAAACATGCAGGAAAACGAGGGAGGGTGGGGGGAAGAGAGAAAGAGAGAGACTTACTTTTGGAGGGTACTCTGAAACGATCATCATAGGTACATTTTGGGTGACAGCTCCAACAAACTGGACCACATTAGGATGCCGGACCCTTTCTAACAAAGTTAACTCATGTTTGAACGCATTTCTGCATGTATATCATAATACGGGAGTTACATATCAAAACTATAGACACAATAATATGATAGAATATTGTAGATCAAGGAGGACTATGATAGGGACTAAGAAGCAAGTCTGAAAGAAGCAAAGTATGTACTGCAGTAAAAGTTTTGAAGATTCAAACAGTCTATATTCCATTGAAAATTTTACTTGGAAAATACTAAATCGGAAATCAAACCACCTAATGCATCACAGACTAGTCAGTTAGAATACAAGTTAATATCCTTCATCTTTCCTCAAGATTTTTGTGAAGTTATCACTCTAAATCCTGTGGTTCTCTTAGTCACCAAGACAGCAACTCATGGGGAATCCACATCACTGCAAAAACAGAGGCAAAAGTGAAGTACACAAGAGCTGTACCAAGATGTACCCAAACTGAATAGAAGATACAGTTGGAGTCATATATAGGGCTATAATGTACTTCCAAGAGTTGAAGTAGGGGGATAACTATGGGAAATTACTGTAGCAGTTCCGTAACACACACTACCGCTAGTAGCCTGGCGAGTTATTATTCATATTACCGCGGTGGGTTAAAGTTCACATACTATTATACCAGTGAACAACTTTGGTTACTTTCATTTTTTATCTTCAGTTGATCAATTAGAAATCAAGTTTCAGCATTTAAGAGCTTGGGTTTGATTTTAATAAGCAGTTAAAATCTAAATTGGGGCTTGATATAAGCTCTTGACTTCGTGACTAATGAACTGAGAATTGCAGCCTGATTGAGAGTTATTGTGATTGCTTTCTTGAATGCTCCTTCATCTTCTTTCTTTTCTCTTCTTCTTATCTCCGTTCTCTAAGATTTTACACAACACAGCTAATTATCTTCTACTTAATCAAAAAATTAAACCATCAAAACAGCAGCCCATGGACCCTCAGTCCTCTTTGGCTCCTGCTGACCTTAATTACCCAAATCCGAGCTTGTCTGCTTAATTTCTTAGCAAAACCTATCCCTAGAACTTGTTTGGAGTAAAATCCTCCATCACTGTTTAAAACATCACAAAATTGTTACTCGTATCGATGTAACAATGGTCCCTTCATTTGTAAAAAAGAATGTTTGGAAATTTTTAGAATGTACAATGCAGAAGCATAGATATACATAGACAAAGTATATTCACGTTAAGCTCGCACAATTTGAACATGTGTTAGAAACATATGCAGTCGAGCTTCAAAGCATAATGGCAAGTGATCATGAAATGACATGCTCATGAAACACTTGATATCCAAGATAAGATGTTGAATAAAATGCGATAGGACCAGTAAATTACGAAGAAATTGCAAGGTATTAAAAATTAGACTATACATTATGACTATCAAATAGATATCAACTTGCTCAAAGAAAGGAACAAGGTAGTGAAATAGCATTGTTACAGAATGCCAATTGTTTTTCAAAAGAAAAATTGCAGATTTGACAAGCATCGGTTTGAGGTTTTTTCAATGTCAAAAAAGGATTTAATAGGAGAATGGTTGTGTCTAAAGAGTCTACATAATCACTGAAAAGGTAACATTCACACGAGAGAGAGAGAGTTGAGGAGACGTGTATTAATTTCTCTGAAATAATCTAAAAACAAATAGTTGAGGGAAGAGGTAGTTATAGCACATACATGCTCTCAGGGTCCGAATAGCTGTCCTTGTCAAGTATCTTCACATAAACTTTTGTGCCATTCCATTTAGCAACTTGATATGTTCCCTGTCAAAATAAACATCTTATTTGACCCATAAATGTATAAAACAGTTTCAGAAGGCACCGATAAAATAGGTCAGACAGCTCACAATTCTTTTGTTTTTTTTTTTTTTTGTTCTCATTTTTAATTTCTTTTTTCCTGTGGGGAGTGCTGGAAGCAATAAATATCAATAGAATCACTCTAGTACTAGCATAAGGTTTCAAAGGTCCCTTAGTGTAAGCCACAACCACAAGATGAAACAGAAATACAGAAACAAAGTAAATGGATCAAGCAACAAAATAGGGCATTGGACTGGAGCAAATAACTTAAGTTTAAAATCTTGAGCCATCAAAATGCTACCTGCCTCCATAGATAAAATCCATGGCAAAACACCTAGCACAAATTCATACTTTGATTAGTACACTATAATGGTTCAAATGCTATTCAAAACAACATTACATGGATTGAGAGGAAGGATATTTGAGCCAGGTGGCAGCGGGTCAGGATTGATGATGGGCTTATACTTTTGGCCGGGTTGGGCATAACTTGCTTACATGGTTAAGCAATGCATTTAGACCTATTCTTTAGCATGAGAGTGTGGGCCAAATTGACAGGGTTAAAATACGTAACTTAATAAAACACAAGGGTTGGAGATTGTTTTGGATCAGAACGTTTTCTTCTGCTTTATCCTGTCATAGTTTACCACTGAGATTGACCTTTGTGGCAAAACAGCTTATAGAATGAATTCCCAAAACCCTCAATTGACGAGTTGGGCAAAATTCCTCAACATAGTTCTTGGAAATTATATAGATGCTTACCACGAGAACTTCCTAGGTTGCTCATTAACAAATGCTTTAATCCTAATTGAGTAAAAATTCCTGTTGTGATATGAGTCTGTGACAGTGACACAAGTCAAGTAGTTGACATAAGCTGTTTGAATTTTGTAAAGCTCAACAAGTTCTTTCACCCTATACATTTCCTCTTCTAGGAATGGTATATATGCGGTTTTACAAGCATCCTATGCGTATATGAGCACAAGCAGATAAAGTTGCCAGTGCAACAGGCAACATGACTTCACAAAGCCCTGCTTTGAATGAATAATAACGCGCTCAATCACCATAAAGCAACTCAATTAGCAAGACATAAATGCAGTAACTTCCAGAGTTTCTTAAATATAATGAATAATCGTAATCATCTAATCTAAGGATAATTCTAAATGTACACATCAAGTAACTCATTCAGAAACTGACATTATGGGAAAATGTCACAGTTTCACCCACTGCCCCCACCACCAGCACCAACAATAACAAAAAAACAAAAATTCCATCTTTAAAGAAAGCCCTTGTAACACTTGACCGCAATGGAAAAACAATGCAGAATCAAAAACAACTGCCAGCTCAAGCACTGTGCCTCCTGAAAAAGAGCATTACTTACCAATGAACAAAAAAGAATCAGGTCCTTTATGAGAAAGAATTTTAGTTTTCTTTCTTCACTACAGAATAACAGGAAATTATCCACAAGCACACACAGAAA